AAAAAAAAAAAAAAAAAGAAGAAGAAGAAAAGAAAGAAAGAGAGAAGAAATGATAATACATCTGGGCAGACTCGAATTTGTAACGTTGAATGCCGAGAATTTGTAACAGACTGTATGTCGAACAGACGTTTTCAATGAGGAACAACCGCGATGTAGATGCTCGTGTGTACGCTGGCGCGAATAATTGGAACGCGTTGACGGAGATGCTCGCGCAAAGTTCGCAACTTTTTCTAATTAAATTTGACGCGCGTCGTCACAGTTGAACCGATTTCATCTCGATTCGCGCGACACACTCGCGAGGGAAAGTTACCGCGCATAAACGAGGCGAGTTTTCGTTGGTCCTCGTTTTTGCACTGCCGCGCAAAAGTACGTGGACATTTGACGTACGATCGAAATATATGAGAATACTGTCATTCTACGAGAGAAAGGAAAGAATAAAATTTTTCCATTCGAGACTTATTGTTAGTTTTCGAGAAAATCGAGGAGTTGAAAGTTTGGATAATTCTAGATTACATGGCTATTTGAATATTTTAAGTAAATGAATGTTTATTCGGTGTGTTCATTAAATAATTTAATTTCGCAATGTCCATTGTTAAACATGGAAGTCGTTCTATCACGACGTGAGGATGTTTTTGGGAAATTCATAGTATTTATTGAAACTATTTTAAGAAAAGAAGAGCACGCTGCAAGAGAAGACTTAACATTATTATAATATTCAACGAATTATTGGTAAAATATGTTCTCCGATACGGTACAAACGAAATTCATTCCAAGTTATCAATGACATCACATCACTTTTCTTCAGGCGAGTGTAAAAAAAAAAAAAGGAAAAAATGTTTGCATCTATCGAGCGGTACGTAACTAACTAAACTTGACTCGTGCAAAAATGATGGACTCTTTGGTGCTGGGTCACCAAATATATATACGACTCCCGCGACGTATATATGTGCCTTATCTAGGTTCCTTTCACGAGGGAACACGCAATTAAGAAATTCTCCGTTCTTGTCGAGATACGGAACAGACACGAAAACTTTGAGCGGCGAAACTCGTTGCTCAAAGCGAGGAGAACCTCCTCGCCTCGGCTACGCCAATGTAATTCGGTCGTCGCGGTAGAAACATTTAACCGCGCTCAAAATCCACCTCGTGTATTTTTCCCTCGTTTCGTCTCGTCTCTCTCGCAGGCCGAGAATCGCATTTAATCCTCCTCCGGGATTGCATCGAGCTACGCGCTTGGATTAATTTACTTCCTTCGCTAACTGCTTCATCTTGAAATTTATTATATTCGCGATGATGGTGGTCGACAGATATTTCTTTTTCTTTTTCATACTCTCCGCGCGTCCATATCGATCCAATCCAACCTGACTCGCATTGGCTGGATTCGACAATTTTTTCACAGGCTGAATCATTCGAACCTTTTGAAGCATCCTCCCCATCTGACGTTCCAATTTACGTTTCCTCCTCTTTTTCCGTAAGTAACTCCTTTCGTTAGCAACGAGGTAAATAAATGAAACGAAATTTTGTCTGGTCTCGGTGCAGTTGGTTCTCGTGGGACCGACGTGCGATTATGTCGGCGCTTCTTTCCAGACAGAGAGCCAGAAATTCGAACGAGTCGAGCAACTTGGAATTCTCGTGATTGCGTTAGCGTTTTCGCGATTCGAAGACGAACGATGTTAAATAGCGAGCGTCGAGTGGGAATCGTGTCGAACGTAGGCGATTTTTCTTTCGTAGTCGAATGGAGCCGTGCGAGATAAGATTATTGTTGAAAAAACACGCCAACGAAATTGTCAGAATCGCGACATTGATCCCTCTCCCCTGGATTTTCCCCTATCGATCGTCCGTACCGAGTCAGCGGCAAAGTTACTCGATCGGTCAGCATCTGAAATGAACCTCAGAAACACCACGACCAAAATCATCCGTGCCTCACAATCGCCACATCAACCACCAAGCACTTTGTTGTCGCTCACGAACGAGAGCCTTTCCTTGCTTTTCCTTTGCAAGCTTGCGAGATGTCGCGAAGGAGAAAATCGAAAAAGAAACTGCATTCGAAACGGGAAACGAGATGGGCCGTCGGTATCGATCGAAGGTCGCAATTATTTGCACGACTGAAAGTAAGTTTCAAGGATTCCGCTTCTTTCCCCCCTCCCCCACTCTTTCTCTTTTTTTTTCTTTCTTCTCTTTCTTCTCTTTCTTTCCTTCTCTTTTTCTTCTACTAGCTGGCTTCCATCGTTTCTCTCTTCCACCCTTTTGTTCGCTAATTGAGCGGCGACCTTCGGCCGAGCTTACGACGCCGCGTACTCTTTTTCTTTTTTCTTCTTTCCTTCCTGACGCGCGTAATCTCTCTGTGCACAAGTCGATGTGAACGCTTTCTCGCGGAGCACTTGCATTCTCGTGTGACTGTGTGCCGCTTGCGAAATCACGAATCATCATCAACAAAAACTCGATTACTCGATTGTCGTTACTGTGATTGTAACTGGGTGTTTCTTGCTTGCAGCACCAGAGCGCCGCCCAGGCATTGGTGAGTCGCATGTCTCTATCTCTTTTTTCCCCCCCTCTCTATCTCTCTATCTCTACGCTCTCTATTTTATATTTATTATCCCCTCTGCGTCTCTCATTCACGACCATTGACAGACTTTCTACACACAATGGTCGTCTGGCCAGCTGAACTTACGCCCAAAGAAAAAAAGATTCTCCTCTTGCTCGAAGGAAATCGAAGGAAAACCGAATTATTCGCAATCTCCGGAGGGAGAGAGAGAAAAAAAAGAGAGAGAGAGAGAGAGAGTCTCTTTGGCGAAAGTTGAGCAGCCGACGACACGTCGACGAGATATGCATGATTCTTTGTGTTCTCGTATTTTGCCACGTCATGTGCCTTTGATCGATGTATTTATTTATGACAGCGTCAAAACTGAACCGGATGTTCCAGAAGTCGCGCAGAACTCTTGCCCTCCTCTCCCCGCGTCGCAGCCTTCATAATTCAAGGGATGTGCGATTTTCGGACTGAGATCTCACGTTTGATCAACTCATCAAGGACCAACGTTGCATTAGCACTACGTTTCGATTCTTTTCAGCCAGTTTTTTAATATCGAGACTGTGAAACGAGAGATTTCGAGAACTTAATCATCAATTTTTTTTTCATCGTTGTGTCTTTATCTGAAGTTTAAAACTTTTCGTGTTTTCAATCTAATCTGTCTCTTGGTGACAAAATGACACAATGGTAGAAAATGAATGCCTAAAATGAAGAGATAATTGTAAATTTCCAAATCTTTTTATTTCTAAAGAAATAGACTAAATTTCTGTTCAATTTCTCAATATCGATGTTCAATTTTATGTCTTACATTTTATAAAAAAAAAAAAAAATGTGTCGAATTGATACAAGGATCGGATGAGGATTAAGGAAAGTCAAGTTAATTTATACATATTAATAGTGATGTACCAACGTCTCATTTTATTTATTACAATTATCTACATAACCGTTTATTATTCGAAAAAATGTTTGAAATGAAATTCGTTTCGTTTCGAGGATGAGCGTCTTATGATGATCACCAAATTTGTCGAAGGAGTTTCTGAGATCTTCTCTAACAATAAGAGATCATCTCCACCTTTTTAAACGGAATCATATATTTCCCTAATTAATACAGATATTTGGAAGATATTTTAACTTTAATTTTATAAAATACCTACTGCATGAAAAACAAAAACAGTGTTTTCTCTCGTCTTTCTACAAAAATAAAATTAAGATTAAAATATTTCCTAAAGTAATAAAGTAATAATTTTTCAATATACATTTTATAGAGATAGAAAAATGATAAAAATGAAAAATTTTATAGAGATAAAAAAATGTGTGATTCCATTTTAAAAAAGTCCATCTAAACAAGTCTGTCAGTCATCAAAACGAATTAGTTCAAGTTTTATTTCGAATCGTGCGAATGGTTAATAATTAAAATGGGACATTCTACATATTTGTAACAATTGTAGTATAGTATTTATAATATTACGGCTAATCGACGCTCGGTCCCTGATGAGTTAAATGACACTGTATCAACGATATCGGTGGGATTGCTGAAAATCGCGCGACAGAAGAAACGAAAAGTCGCCATCGTAGAAACAGCGTGGGCAACAAAAGGGTATAAGATAAAGGTCTGTTGACCCACGTGCGCGATTCTGGTGCGCGGCCTCATTGTCACCTTCGACTTTAGCCGCTGCAGTTTCTGATCTATCTCTCTTTCATCAAGCACCCTTGGTCGGTTCAGGATGCACCGGATGCAGCCAGGTCGCTCCGCGCATGAGAAGTGGCAGCTCCGACAAAAAAGAATCGTTTATCCACGCCCTCAACCCCGTTTCCGC